AAGAAAGAGAAAGAAAGAAAGAAAGAAAGAAAGAAAGAAAGAAAGAAAGAAAGAAAGAAAGAAAGAAAGAAAGAAAGAAAGAAAGGGAAAGAAAGAGAAAGGGACAATGGATTCTAGGGACAACTAGAGGCTTAAACCACAAACACTCTTCATCCAGATGTACCCAAGGCTTACTCCCTCCTTTCAAGTCTCTGCCCAGAGACCGTATTAGTGAGTTCTTCTCTGACCACCCAATATAAAATAGCAACTCTCCCCACCTTCCTTATCCTTCTTACCCTGCATTATTTTTTCTCCATAGCACTTATTACTATCGCATATAAATATTTAATTGTTTATTGTCTGTTTCCCCTGACTAGAAACATAAGCTCCATGGTGGCAGATTCTGATTTCTCTATGCTCTCTCCCCAGCCCCTGTGTGAGGCACCATGAGTAGGTGATCAGAAAATACTTGTGCAACAACTGCATAAATGTCTAGCAGTCTTCATAAGTGAGAAAGGACAGATTTGAGTCAGACTGCTGGGATTGTACACCTGGCTCCACCACTTACTAGTCATGGGATATTTTACCTGTTTCATTTTTTTTTTTGTAAAATGAAGGTGATAATAACAGTAGATACTACTATTACCTTGTAGGGTTGTGAGACTAAATGAGTTAATGTATGTAAAATGCTCAGAATAGAGCCTGCTGGATAATAGGCACTTGATGTGACTGGTGTGTTAGTGATGTGCTTGTGTTGTAGTTCACAGCACTCTGCAGAGTGCTGTTGACAGAATGGTGAACAAGCCACAGAGGGCCAGTGGCGGCATAAACAGGGCCCGGGCAGCCCTTTCCAAAAAGGCCAAAGAAGAGTGACAGAGTCACAGAGTCACAGAGCCACAGAGCCACAGCAGGCCTTCATGTTTAAGGCCTTCAAACCATGGTTTTCCAGACACACGAGGACAGAGGGGAATTCTGTTTGGTTACCTGTACTGAGCCCTCAACACTGCCTAAAAATATAATTGTTTCTTTTGTCAGGTCACTCTTCCATTCTGTGCAAAGACGATTTCAAACCGCCTGCACACTCTCATCTTCCATTTTCTTCTACTTTACTCTCTGATAACT